CAGTAGATGAGGCATGTAAGTCACCCGCTGGAAGTGGACTTGAACGAAAGAAGAGCGAGAATGCCAGGAAGCAGCTCAAGGCCTCTCCCAGTCCCTTCTAACCGGGCAGCAGACAGCTCCCAGGCGGACTCCAGAGGCCTTGACACGTGACCCATTCTGAATTGCCCCGAAAACGGGCCAGGGACAGAGGCAAGCAGGCAGGGATTCGACCTTGGTGAGTCCATTTAAATGCTTTTATTAACAATCTCCTTACATTACAAGGATAATATGACAAAAGGAAAGTTTCCGCGTACAGATTATGATAAACCAACACAGCTCTATTTGTATCCAGTGTTCTAGGTCCCGTCACACAGGTACTATAAAGCGTAGTCTGCAAAATAATAACATCAAGGGTTTTTTTTCTTTTTTTTAAGAAAGAAAGTATTAACATATTAATATGTATGTGATAACAGACTCCTAGGTATGTCACCCCACCCCCACTACAGTTTTCCTTTATGACTGAAATGAAATGGTTCGGCCGCGTGGGGGTGGAGGGAAGGAGAGAGACAGGGGCTGAAGAAGGCTGAATCAGGCTGCTGGCTCTTCCCGAGAGACAGACAAAGTGAGGCCCGAGGGGGGCCGCCGGCAGCCTGGCCTTGTCTTTCTGTGAGCAGTGCTGTGACCGGCTGTCCTCGGACAGAGGGCCCGGTGCCCTTGATGCCCCGTGGCTGCTCTCTCTGAGGTACAGTGCATTGTGGGATTGCTGCCCGGGGATGCCCGTCCCCTGGCCGTGGGTCTGATCCACCTCAGCGGGAGGAAGGCTCGGGCCGGGCCCGGCCTCTCTTGAGCCAGGCCCTGGAGGGCGTTCCAAGACCCGGCTGGCAGCTAGCTGTGGCTCAAAGAGACCCAGGCCGACGTGGAGGGGAGGCAGTGGGCACTGGCAGAACAGACCCACCCCGCCTGCAGGTATAGGGGTGGGTCTGCTGGAAACTGAGGTCCGTTGGTAGGATGGTGGGGAGGAGTAGGGCAGCGGGTCAGAGGGGGCTTGGAGACGGGAGAGCCAAAAGGCAAGAGGCTGGTCTGGAGAGCAGAGGATTCAGCCGCTACCCTCGCCTCTCTTCATCTGCAACCCCACAGCCCCTCCGCCCCCACCTCCGGGGAAACGCAACTAACGGAGAGAAACCTGGAAGTGAATGGGCTTCTGATCCCGTCGGGGCCGCGCCAGCCCTCCGTCATGGGGCGTCCGGCTCAGCCTCTGCCTTGAGTCACAGAATCAGAACAGTGTATGTGAACTAAACCTGTCTGTTAGGGTGGCGGTGAGGTGAGGGGGTCCATGGGCCTCCGTGCGGGAGAGGGAAGAGCATTGTCCTGAGTACAGCCAGCAGCAGCAGCAGCTGTGCAAAGTGGGCCGGGCCAAAGCCCTGCATCTGAACTTGAATTGCTACTGAAGTCATGAGTGTGCGGATATCTCTCTCCCGCCCTTCCTGGTTAGCAGATGCCCCGTGCCCTGGCCGGAAAGCCTCTGGATGGTGGGCGGCGCAGGGCGGCGATGCTCACGCTGCCCGCTTCACTTCTCCAGGGCCCTGGCAGACAGTGATGGAGGAGGTGAGGGAGGCCAGGGCGCTGTACTTTGGAGGTTTGGCCTCTAGGGGCCAGTAGAAGCACACAAGGGGGGCAGGCGGCATCTTTCCTGGACCACTCTTGGTCCAATTTGCATCTTTTCTATGGCCTTCGATGCTGCTGATTCCTGGGGGCAGAGTATTTGGGGGAAATTGTGCAGTGGTCCCTACACTGTAGGTCAGTGATCCCGTCCTACTGCCAAGCAGCAGAGACCACCAGCCATAGGCTTGGAGGGGGGTGGAGGGGGTGTTTGAGCTGGAGCTCAAGGGGTGAGTATCTCCTTCCGACCGCAGACCAAGCCTGTAGTGAAGGAGAGAAAGTGCACGGAGAGGGCCGGGACCCAGGTCCTCTCCTCTCCACCGCTCCGGGCAGGAGGCCCCGTTCCCAGCGAACCCTGCCTCCTTAGCTCCCTCGTCGCCCCCTGCAAAGGCTCTGCCTCCTCCCTCTTCGCACAACACAGGCTTTCCCCTTGCTCTCCCAGCTCTCTATAGACTCTATTTTTAAATCTATTTAAAACATAGAAATGTATAAATATATAGGATATTATTTATAGATATATAGACGTGATTCAATCTCTTACTCTGTGTATACGTACTGCATATGTCCATATATACAATATATATGCTGTAGCATTTGTATTATACACTGCACATACCCCTGCTTCTATGCACTCTCCTAGGGAGACTGGATTGCATAGGTATTTCCAGGGTGATACCACTCGAAGGGATAGGGGTCGGGGGAGAGCCCGATGGAAGAGGAGGGCCGTACCATTTTCCTCCCCAAAGGGCACTTTTTCTCCCTCTGGCTAACACACAAAGATCGCCTCAAAGGCTCCATAAAATATCACAGCTCCACTCACTCAGCTAGAGCTCCCGGAACAGAGAGCCTTCCTCCAAGCAGAAAAAGGGCCCCGGATGTCTCTTGACACAATCTTCCCTCTCAAGACCAGACTAGAGCCTAAGGCCCAGCGCAGCCTCCAGGAGGCCGGCATCTGGAATGGAACTGTCCCGTGCTCACCTGCCCTCCCCACTTGGGCTGTCCCAGGCCGGCCTGGCAGGGTCTGCCCATTGAAGAAGGGAGGGGGTGTGAGATTCAGTGAGTCTGGAGCCTTCCACCCAAACTGGGTGTCAGGACCAAGAAAAAACACGAATTCTGCTCGGAAATCAACCCACACTGCAAGCTTCAACAAGCTCCAGACACAGAATTGCTGCTCCCAGAGGGGGTGGGAGGAAAAAGGAGGGGTGAGGAACCTGGAAGGGAATTTCTGTTTCACCGCACCCCCCAGGCCACCCCCTGGACCCCACGAGGTTCCAGGTGAGCAGCCAGCGTAAGATGCCTCCAGCCCCGCGCCCAGGCTGGGCCCTGTCTGCAGTCCGCTTCCATGTCTCCATGATCGTTTCCAGCACTCTACACGCTTCTCCCTGGTTTTTCTTTTCTGGCATCGCTTCTGAGCACACGGGAAGTATTTAGACCTTACCTTAAACAATGACAAGGCCCTTCCTCCAAACTGAAGGGTCAACAGAAACTAATCAAAGGGAGGAGCGAGGCTGGGCAGGAGGCCTCCACATGGAAACACGTAGGAGGGGCTGGTGCCAAGACCTCCCCCTGCCCTGAACTCAGGTATCCAGGCCCCTGGGGCTGGAACCTGTTTTCATTCTCCAGTGAGGATGAGGAAATAAGGGTCCACCCAGCACTACAGAATGGTGCCCTCTGTCATTTAAAAAGGGAAAAAAAAAAGCTGGCGTTTCAGTCAGATGCCTGTACTCACATTCAACCAGACCATCAAGACTTAGGGATTCTGACACAGCAAGAGTTGTAGGCAGGACAGAGGAGCCCTCAGGTTGCACAGATTCTACAGACAGCAATGGGTCTTTTTCCTCCACTGAGGAGACCCGCACTGTTCTCATCACAGGGCAACTGGCCCCAAACCTCACCTCGCTTCTCACGCTGCCCAGAAGCCAAAGAAAGCCGCTAATCAGCCAGCCCAGTTAGGACAAGCCTCGAGCCCAGAGACACAGACACTGTATTGTAAGCCATTGTAACTCACTCCTGAGCCCGGGTGAAGCCACCACACCTGGGACGCGAGAACCGCCCAGCCAGTCTTCCATACGCACAGAAGGGAAGCCGGGCCAGCCAAGCACGTGTCTCCCCAGACCAGACCCCGAGGGCCCCATCGGCTCAGGGGCCCTCCCGAGGAAGCAGAGAGTGGGAAGTGCCCGCTATAGGAATCGCGGGCAACCACGTGCGCCATTCACAGAACGAAAGTGCTGAGCCTCCTGGGAGCACCCAGGCTGAGAGAAGCCCCTGTGTGAGTGGTGTGTCGCCCCAATTATTCCCTGGTTACTCCCCCTCCCAAGGCAAAGCAGCCTCTGGGGTGTCTGACACGGCCTGGCACCCAGAGTTGGAGCGGCGACCTGCCAAACTCCAAGACCCTCCAAGGAGCTCATCCTTTCTGTTCCAGACCCTGGCCCAGCACACAGCCGCAGGGAGCCACGTGCTGCTAGCGGCAGCTCGTGCTCCCAGCTCTCTTAGAAGGTACGGGGTTGACACTGGCCTTGACCCAAGGGTTTTCCTCTTGCATAAAACTGAGCTAAGTCTGACCGCGGTCTCTCGAGAGGACACGTGTGCAGCCCTGACCAGGCGCTCCAGCACACCTTCTCTCCCCGGTGTGTAAATGCGTGGCTTGGCGGGGCGGCTCTCCACCGAGGGTCCCAGGGTAGCGGGTGGGAGGGAGCGGCAGTTGGAAAAGAGAAGATGTAAGGCATCTGTTGGCTATAAGAAAGGATCCCAACCTGCCGTTTCTGCCCCTCCCCCACCGAGGCCCACCTCACCAACCACCTCGCCACCTCGCCAGCCCCCTCTGCCTTCAAGCAGTCTCAGTCTGTGTGTGGTGGGGAGGAAGCTGGGGCGGGAACGGTGGAGCCTTGTGCTTTGCAACAGTGTCCCACTTGACCACAGTTACTGACCCTGATGGGTGGGGGTAGGGGGAGGAGACCTCAACTTAAAGCGGGGAAGTGGAGCAAGTGAGGCTGGGAATTTCAAAGCCTCAGAAAGAGCTCTGGGTCTTTCCTGCTAGTTCCTTCTCTCTCCTGCAGAGGGGGGCAGGGAGGTGCGTGGGCAGGGCAGGGGCTGGGGGTTGAATGTCACCAGGCAGGGGTGCATTGATTCGTTGAAGAAGGCAGCATATGAGGCCTGGCAGTGGGGCCCGGTCAGAGAAAACCAGGTTTTGTTTTTTGTTTTCTTTTTTTAACATGCTACATCACTGTTGAAACGAACAAAAACAGTTTCAAAAATAATATATAATATATATAATATATTTATATAATGAAAAGCTATCAACTAGCAGCAATGATTCTAAAGTTATCTTAGCACCAAGACCATGGGGGTGGGGGAGGGGCCTGTGGGGGGTGGAGGGACTGGCAGGACCGGGAAAGGGGAGTGACGTGTTCAGTGTTGATGACATGTCCACAATGGTTCTCTACGGTGGCACGAGGGAGGCCTCAGAGACAAAGTGAACCAGGGAGGGAGGGAGCCACCACAGTTTCAGAGGGTCGGAGCCACTCGGGGTGGGGATGCTGGGGCCTGCCTGTGGCCAGATCACAACATCCTGTGCCCACCCTCTGCCAACCCAGAGGGGTGGCTCTCTGACCACGGATGAAGCGGGTCCTCCCCTGCCCCCCGATGTGACCTGCACCCACGATGCGGGATCTCTGCATATCGGATGTGCGTCAGTCAGGTGTGGAAACATGAACAGAAGTTAACAGCTCATGCACATTTTTTTAAAAAACTCCCTTGCGAGGTATACCGGTAGTTAAATGAAAGAGAGAGGATTGATCTCACTCCTCTAGCTTAAACCACTACTTGCCCCAGGGAATAGGCAAGTGGCTATTTCTAAAGCTTATATTGTGGTTGTGTGTGTGGTTGTGTGTGTGTGTGTGTGTGTGTGTGTGTGTGTGTGTGTAGGCGGATGCCTTGAGAGTCCTATTTTACCCCTTGCTTATTCCTTTCTCTTAGGACATCTCTACCCTGTTCAAAAACGGAAGCGTTGACAGGCATAGATGCAGCGCTCAGTCCCCCACCACCTTCCTGCCTGGCTGTAGGGCTGGTCATCAGCCTGTTGCAGAAAAAGGACTGAATCTCTAGCGACTCTCATTTGCATAATCCAGGGCACAACTTGCATTGACATCTCCTGCTACTGAATTACCGCAGGCCTTTCTCGATCATTAAAGGAAAGAACATACCCCCAACACATTACAGGATTATAAAGACAGAGTATGAATAATTTATGTAAATTGACACATATTTTTCATTTCACTTGTTTTTAGCCAATAAATCGTTGCCCTTTGGGGTCTGGATTTCTTGGCTCTTCCTTCCTCCAACAGCCCTGGATCTGAATGGAATAAGATTATTGTATCCCACACCACGTAAAAACAGGAATGCAAAACGTTCACCAGCCCCCCCCTTCCCCAGGGTTTCAAGCTTGGTTGTCAGGCAATTTTGCCTTTAGTATTACAGGTAATATCTTTAGGATCCAGGGGGGCTGGAGGAAGGGAATCAACAACCCAGGGATGGGACTGGCGACAGAGGGGGGGAGTCACAGTTTGACCGACATACGTTTCTAAAACAGTGAAGAGATGCTCACCGGGAAATGAACAAAATTCATTCAAGCTGAAGTCAGGCAGGAGAGAGAGTCAGAACTCGAGACCCAGACACACAGCCTGCTCTCTCCAGAATCAGAGGTCGCGTTCAGCTGGGCCAGCCTGTCAGCGAAGAGGCTGAGAAACCCCATCGCACGAGAAACCGAACAAGAAAAGGAAAGGCAGGAACATAAACCCCAACCCAAGCCCCCCGCTCCCCCAGACAGAAACGTGAACCAAACGAGCTACCTAAAGGTGGTGGCAGAGACCCGTCACTTTAGCTTATGTGGCCGGTGGACCGCTGGGTGGGAACACGTGTGGCCGCAGCACATGCTTCTGTGAGTGAAAATGAGTTGCCACGGATGTTGCAGCTGCCAAATTTTGGAGACAAGAGTCAGTGTCTGACATTACTCCTTTCTGAAAGCTCCCAGTAGCTTCTGGTAGATGCGTCACCTCGGTTTTTAAAAAATTTTCAGTGTGGATTTTTAATATATATATATATATATAATATAATATATATTTATATAATATATCAAAGCTTATGAGTATAGATTTAAAAAATATTCGACAGCTTAGCGACCTCCGGGACTCAGGCTCCCTAGATGTCTGGGTAGAACTCTGCGCCGTGCTCCACGGCCGGCAGCACTGGCTTCTGCTCCAGGGCCGACATCCTGCTGAGGACCTCGGCGGACAGGGAGTAGCTGTTGCCGGACTTCTCCTCGAACCAGCTGTCCAGGGCTCGCTTGGCGTCGAAGTTGGCGATGGGCGGGCCGTTGACCGCGATTGTCAACAGGTCGCTAAGCTGCTGCAGGGTCAGGCGGGAGCGGTGGTTCTTGCGAACTCGCTGCAGGGCGTTGCGGCCTTTCTCGCAGCAAGCAGTGGAAGTGGGGAGGACCTTGAGGACCTGGATGATCTTGTTCAAGAGCGGAAACCTCTGTTTGTATTTGCAAACGTGGCCGATCAGGTCTTTGAAGCCGTTTTTGGTGTAGTAATCAGACTTAAGTTCTCGCCACTCCAGTAAGAGACTCCCCCGGGGGTCCAGCCCTTCCCTACAGACATCCCGGGAGAAGGTCGGGATGGCTTCCAGGTGATCGAATATCTGAACCATATCCTCCTTGCCGTAGCTCACGAGCTCCTCGCTGCTCCTGGGCCAGGCCGCGAGGTCGAACACCTGGCAGGCCTTGACGAAGATCCGGCTGCGGGAATCGAACCTCTGAGCCAGGATCACTTGGGTCTTCTGGCAGATCTTCTCCCGGATGGACTGGAACTTGGCTTCGGCCACCCTGAGGTTCTTCATCGCGATCCCATTGAAGCTCTCTCGGAAGTTCTCCTCGAACTCCTGCAGGTATTCCCCGGGGCAATCGGCCAGCCGGCTGATCTCCTGGATGGCCTCCTCGATCTTGTCATCCACCTGGGACACCAGGAGGTACTGGCCCTGGAAGACGTAGGCCAGGCGTGAGAGCACGGCGATCACGTCCAGCAGGAAGTAGATGAGCTTGATGGACTGGTAGTCCATGAGGAACTGCAGCAAGGCCAGCGCGATGGCCGAGGCGTCCGCCCGCTGGGTCTGGCTGCTGACATCCTTGAGGTGGGCCACCACCTCCAGGTAGTCCTTGATGAGGGCGTTGAGGACATTCTGCTCGCCGATGATCCACCTCACGGCCCGGATGTCCCCCAGGAACTCCGTCTCCTCACAGAGGGTGGAGGCCGTGGACCGCAGCTCGCACATGAGCCGCGGTGAGTACCGGTAGAAACTCAGCAGCTGCTTCAGGTTGTTCTCCAGCTCCTCCAGGCAGGGGAGCTCCTTCCCGCTGATGGCATCCAGGATCTCCAGGTGGGGCCGGTGCACCATGAAAGGCAGGCACAGCAGCCAGGGCAGCGTCTTGCGGATCGTCATGAACATGCTGGCACGCAGGCTGGCTGTGATGTTGGCCCCGTCGATGCCCAAGCCAACGGTTGGCCTCTCATCCTGCAACCGGATGCCCAAGGCGGAAAAGGCTCGATCAAGCGCCTGGAGATAACTCTCTGTGCTAGAGAACCCCAGTTCCTGCAAGGACAGGAACTCTGTGGCCGGGGGCCCGTCACTGCTGGTGTATTGGACATAGACAGCCACCGTGTCGGCCAGCAGGTCATCGCTCTGCCCATCCAGGATGATGCTGAGGCAAGGCGACTGGCGGATGCGCTCCACCAGGTCTTCCCGCAGCGCCCGGGCGATGTGGTGGATGAGGATCTGGCAGTCTCCCTCGTTCATGTACTGGTCCACCACCTTGAGCTCGCACTTCCTCAGGAGCTCAGCCAGGGGCCGGAAGTCCAGGTAGGGCCTGCCCTCCAGGGCCAGGTGGTAGGCGGTGTTGAAGAGCAGGGTCATGTTGCGGCACATCTCCTCCGTCTTCTCGGGGTGCATGCGGAGCTTGTACAGCTGCAGGCACTTCTTGTGCAGGTTGCTCTGGCTGTGCAGTTTGATGGTGTGGATCTTGAACTGCTTGGAGCCAATGATGAAGGCCGAGGTGCGCGAGGACTGCACGGTGTACTGGCGGCAGACGTGGCACCACATCTCGTTGAGGGTTGGGGAGTACCGCAGGAACCAGAACTTCTTCAGCCACTCCTGCTTAAAGCGCCGGATTCGGCGCCCGGTGGCAGACGACATCTTGGAGGGCTCGTCGGTGGCAGTCATCATATCGTTGGACACGGATTCGTCTGCTGAATCGACCTCCTGGTCGTCGTCCTCCATGATGGCGGGGCCAGAGACCATGCTCTCTGAGGCTGGAAGACAAATAGGAAAGAAACATAGACTTTTCTAAAGCGAACGGGAAACACTGCCCGCAGGGTAGGTGCCGCACTATGTGAAACACAAGCCAATTCCTACAACAATTGAGTCCTAGCCTAGAATTTATGTATAAGCCCTCTCATTGTCTATTTGTGATTTCCCTCTTTGTGGATTATCCATGGTGGCCACCAGGCCCCAGGCTTCCTGTCCTCACCCTCCACTAGTGGGTGCTGAAAGAATGTCTCTGTTCAGTGTCAACTGGCCAGCACAACCAGGCGAGGAAGAATCACATCGAACGTCCCCCAGTAAGAGAGCATGGGACTCGACGGTCCCACCACCAACACGGTCAGGGGTGGCACGCTGCCCTCCAATGGAGGCAGCTGTGGCATGGCCCCGGGTTATTTCAGGATCACAGCACAGTTTAATTCAGATGCATGCTTTGATGATCTGGAACACCTCATTCTGAGCTAAGGGATGTGGTTAAAATAGAAAGCACTACGTAAATACTCTAAGTCGGCTGCAGATGTGTACTGAGAAGTCTTCCTCATTGTCGACCAGCTCTAAGACATCCAGGCAGCCACAGAAACAGTCACAAGCATGCAGCTGAATGCCGAGGGTCCAGGTCCTTCCAAGACTGCAGGCAGGGAGATGGGACCCTGTGGTGGAACAGCAGGTTGGGCAGAGGAGAAGGAGGCTGAGTACCTGGACTGAGTTTGGGAAGGCCAGGAGCTCCCCCTGACAGGACAGCCTGCTTGGGACTGGGCAGAAAGATCGGCTTTAGAAGTTGGACTTTGGGGTCAGACACCCCTAGGACCACCAGAGAAAGGCAGCAGGTCAAGAACACAGCACACACCCCTTCTGCAGCGGAATGTCCTTTATTGACGAGGAGAATACAGGGGAAGACAGGAAGCACCCACCGGAGCTGCAAAGCGACCGGTCAGAGGCAGGCACCTGAGGGCACGGGCTGTGGCCAGAGCTCACCTCTGAGTCACACACCTGCCTCAGGTTTCCCCAAAGGTGGCTCCAGCAGAGAGTGCCAGGCCACTCCCACACGGCCTGCCGTGTGCTCTTCCGTCTGACAACCTCTCATCCACACCAACTTACCTGCAGGGTCTGAGAACTCTGGGAGCTCCAGTACCTGTGCTGGCAGTACGGGGGGCTCAGGAAGCTTCCCAGACTTAAGCATGTCTAGCTCTGCCTGGAGCTCTCGAACCTTCTTCTTTAGGCGAATACAATTAGGGCAAAAGGAGGTGGTGGGAAGCTCGTGAAGGTCAGACGCAAGGGAGGCCTCGGCAGGACTGTCAGCCTTGAATGACGAAGGCTCCTCTTCTTCATCCTCCAAAGGGCCTGGCTCTGTTGAAGCAGCCCCCTGGGGGGGCTTCCAGTCCCCTTCCCCCTGGGTCCGGCTGATACTCTGCACGCCATGAGACATGGTCATTGCGCACCGACCGTAGGCGTCGCCCTGGTATTTGGGGACCTTCCTGATGACCAGCGAAGTGCTCAGCGCCAGCTGGTGGGCTTCCGCCTTTGCGGATTCCAGTGAGGCCTCCAACACATCCTTGAAAATGAGGTCAATTTTCTTCTTCTTGGTCTGGGGGTTCACGTCCCCCTCCTCCAAGCCACGCTTGTAGGGACTTTTGCCCTGTCTCAACACAGGGAGATGAATGGGACCCCTCAGGTCCTCTGGGCCATCCAGAGCCTGCTCAGCCTTCTCCCTCTGCAACCGCTTCTCTCCTAGGAAGGAAAACCAGGGTGTGAGGATGTGGGGAAGAGCCCCAGGTGGAGAAATAGGAGAAAACAAAGTAGGCCTCCGTGTAGGAAGTCGCTCGACACATCCCTCTGGGGCTGGCCTCTCGGGGCATGCGTGACAAAAAGGGAGAGGCAGATCACTCAGTAGATCATGGCAGGGGGGTCGGTCATAGGACACCAAAAAAGCAGGAGGAACTCTTTTTAAAGAGACCGTTTCCATGGAGCCTTATATATACAAGTTCTACATGTATTAACTGAGAGAATGCTATGGGGGAGGGTAGTTGGAAGTTCTGTCAAAGGTTCTTGCCACCCTGTCACCCTAGAAGAGGCCCTCTCGCGTGGGTGGGTGGTGACATTCCTGAGAACTAGGTGCAGACGGACGCCCCACCCCTCCAGGCTGCTCGTCCCGCCCCCGCAATCAGATGGCTGCTTTGACTTGGTAAAAGGTTCACAGGAAATACCGAGACCCATCCTTCCTCCTCCCGCACACAGCCCACTTGGGGCACAGCCCGCCGGTGGCAGCTCTCCTTTCTCATTGTCCCAGTAATCAGGAAGCTAGGAGTATGTGAGGAGTACGTGATGACTAAGGTGAGGGGGACATGCAAGACAGAGACAGCTTTGGTGGCTCCCAGATGGCCACCTCCCGCGAGGTAAAGAACAATGTGACCACACGGACCCAAAGCATGCTCAAAACACAGCTGTTTCTTTACCCAACAAGGCAAAGAATGTTTCCTTTTCTATTTCTTTCTATCATGTAAGGGGTTTAAAATATCTTGGTGAGCTGCCCAACAATACGTTATTTTAGCCGGATTCTTCAGAAGGACTGACACAGTTTCATAAACCGCTAAAGAAGGGTGAGCGCTGCCCAGGGGCACAGATGCTAAGGGGGAACCCTCAGAAGGTCCTGACAGCGGCCTGTGGGGTTAGGAAATCTTAGAGGCTTCCTAGGTCAGGGGCGGACCCTGGGAGATGCGACCTGCGCAAGGGCTTAACCTATGCCTATGATGTAATTAGGCTTCTGTTAGCTGCATTTGCCACCCTTGGCCACTGAGGGAAGACCAAGGGATCTCCATGTGCAAACCAGGTGGTCCACGCTGTGACTAAGCCTTGGCTTCCCACGGCTGGCACGGAGTGCTGTGCCCTGGCCCACGCGGGACTCCAGATTTCCTGCAGGTAACAGCACCAAAGCAAGGGAGCTACCCGGGATGTCCCTTTTCCGTCTTCACGTGAATGCTTAGGGCATGGTGTCGTCTGCAAGTGTCCTGAAACCCAGCTGAATCCCCACAGCCTGCATTTCTCTACCAGCCGAGGGGTGTAAAGGGTGGAGATGAACAGAGCTTTTTAAAAAATGCAACATCTTTGTTCAGATTACATATGACGCTTGCCCATTCAGAATCTCTAAAGGGCCACCCTCTCACTGTCTTGTGGACCAATCAGGCAGCAGGCACCTGAGGATGTCTGCAGGTCAAGAGTACGCATCACCAGGGATTCCTCATGCTATTCTGCTCAGAGACAAGGAGATCTCTCTGCACTCAAACTTCTAGAAAAATCTATGGGTCAAAAAAGACCTTGAAACATTAGGAAATTGATTCTAAAGCCTCCATAAAACATGGGGAAAGCACCACGAAGTAAATCAATGGCTCAAAGTAGATCAAATAACATAAATCCTTTGAATATATGCATTAGGTGCATCCTATTCTTCAAGGATAACCACAGAGAAATAATTTACACTCTCTTCAGGAAGCAGGACTAATAATTCATGCACTGGCCTTTATTAGGGCTCCGGCCTCCAATTACAAAAGAAGCCTCCTTCCATGCAAGACCTTACATGATTGAGCTCGGGGGATCCCCCCTCCAGGGCAGGACCGGAATGCAGATCTAAGATACCGCTACCCGTTCCCAGCATCTGCCAAAGCTACAGGCTACAGAGACACCGCATCTAAAAGCCACTGAGCTCCAGACTGCTCCCAAGGACTTTAGGACCAAGCCCACCTTCTGCGCTAGCCCTGCCCCGTGGTGGCTTCCTGTTTCCTTCCTGTTTCCTTCCTGTTTCCTAGTCCTCAGCCTGGCCGGGAATAGACACTCCCTCCTCCTGTATCTTCACGTGCCTAGGTGTATTTCCTGTCCAGTCTGTCTGCCATGCTCCCTTGAATCACTCCTGAGAGCTCACTCCCTTCTCTGAGCATCCCCCTGGGGCCTCAGGGCTCTCCGAGGATGACGCAGCTTGAAGTGCTTTGAAGAAGACTCTGGAGGGGAAAAGGACGTTACACATCCAGAAGAATTCAAGAAGATGACGGCCAAAGGATGGAACCCGTGTCCTTAGATATGATTTCTTCTCTTGCTTTCCTTTTCTTCTGGTGATAGGATTCTTTTGGAGATGTCTTGGCTATCTTCACTCATTTCTTCCTTTATCCAGTCAGCAAAGATCGAGCACCCACTACGTGTCAGACGCTTTTGCACGAGGCATCTCCAGATGTCAAATGGGAACCACGGCAATCTCATCATAGGACCAGCCTTCCCAGGTGCAATCAGCAAGCGCCCAGCCCCAGGATGCAAAGAGGACCAGAGATGAGTACGTCTACTGGGCCTCCTCTCACTGCCCATCCCATCACCAGACACCTTTTACCAAGTCAGGCAGCCGCTGTCCACAATCTGCTCTGTTGGGTTTGTTTTTAAAGACAGCTTCATTCCAGGGGGCCACTCCCACCCCTTTTCACCTTCTCCACTCACGTTCCAAATGAAGCTCTGTGTCCCAGAAGTAGGCTGGTCGGGGATATGATATAGTGGGGCCTGGGGACAGCCTTGCTCCCCGGGACCAAATGGACTCTGGGTCTTTGGCTGTACGGTTTCAGTGTAAGGCAGGTCCCACAGAAAGGTGGGTCCCAAGGACCTGCCCTCACCAGTGTGCCCTGGCCAGATTGAGGGTGGAGCAGAGAGGCAAAGGCCTAGGGACTAGGAGTATTTTAAGCCATTTTCAAATGACTCATTTAAATGGAGCCTGGATGGACATCTCACCCTCCAGGCCGTCATCCGCACTGAAGGTTACCTCCCTCCAACCTCCCTGATCTAAATAGATACTGTGCTTTCACAGCACAGCATTGGGACTTTCAGGAATAAACCAGGAGGAAGAGGAAAAACCCAGCTTTGTCTGGGAGACCATATAACATGATAGGTTGGAGCTCAGACTCCGGGCTCAGATGTGAGTTAGAAACCGAGCTCTGCCCTGCCTCCCCACACGACCCTGGGGGCGTTGCTGTATTTATCTGATGCTTAGCTTCTGCATTTGTAAGGTGGGGATAACCATCTGCACGAGTCACTAGTACTAACAGTCTACGATGGAGGGCTTACAATGGTCAAGACGGACACCGTTCTGTATGGGTGTTATCCAGCCAGTTCCCAGCATAGGGACAGGGTAGGGGCTGCTGCTGTCATGATTTTATGGCACCAGGGAACACCAGCTTAGTGCATATCAGGGCCTTAGTAAATGTTACCAAGTACTGCAGCTGTGGCCATTTGTAATATCTTTCGGTCAATTTGAGGGGGAAATAGGGTCCACCTTTATTGAATTTATGGACGTGGCTTTGGGAACTTGCCTCTCTCCCTGATACTCCGAAATGTGTAATAACACATTTACATGTCATAGGGTTTCTGAGATGGTTTCTGATGGAGGGTAAGTGGTACCCAAGGCCCTGCCCTGAGCTGCTGCTCAGACCTGAACCATCTGTTTGCCCTCTGGGTCTCCCCATGGGTGGTATGCTGTATTTCCCATCTGTTTTCTTAGGACGCTTCTAGAGAAGCGCACCTGGCTTCCCTTGGGGCTCGGCAGCGGCGGGCATGGCCCTCGAGTGGAGGGTGGGCACTCACCTCTGGCCAGGTTGCGATGGATGGTTTCCTGGGACATGCTGTGCAGGCGCTTCATATAGTCCTCGCTGTACCAGACCCGCAGCCGCTCCCCGGGCCGGATGTCCCGGCACACCCGGAAGTAGATGTGCTCGCTGTGCTGGAACGCCAGCAGGTTCTGCTCCCTCTCCTCCCGGGAGATGACCACGTACCTGGAGGGGGCGAGGGGGACAGGGGAGAATGCATGGGTCACTCCTTGATGAATGCCTGCTGGTGCTGGGCACAGTGCGGGGCCAGTGACAGGGGTCACAAGTCCACCGGCATGTGGACTTGTGCAAAAGTCGACAGGGCAGCTGCCCCACCGAGGGGAGGACCACCAGCTAGAGCTGGTCTGCTGTCTCCGCATCACTGTTTTGTGTGACCTTGAGCAAGTCTCTGAACCTTTTAGAATCTCTGTTTTCTGAGACTGGAAATGACCCCGGCCCTGCCCGCCTCCCAGGTTCTGCTAAGCGTGAGATTCAACACCAGATAGAATGGTGATCGGAAAACTGTTGGATCATCTACTCTCCACTAACCTTTAACCACGGGGGCCTCTGAAGGTGGTGACGGTGGGTCTTGAGTGGTTTTCACAAAACCTAGCAAAAGTAACCCATGTGACAAGGGTGCTCAGGAGACCAACTAATACACGCTAATGATCAAAATCCTTGAAAATAGGGGGCTCAAGGGGGACAGAAGAAAAAGGCAAGGAAGAGTTGGCACCTGCTGGTTAGTCTAAGTTATTTTAAGACCAGGAAACTGAGGCTCAGAGAGGCTAAGTGACTTGCCTGTGGTTACACAGCTGAAAAATGGAGACGGGGCTTTGAGGTCAACGCTTTCCCCACGAGAACTCACGGCTCCTACGTGGGCACCTAAGCGCCCTCTTCTCGGTGCCCAGATAACCTTTAAAGTTCCGTCACACCCTCAGAATCTGTGGCCCTCGCCCCTTCTCCCTGAAATGACAGTCCTCACAGTCACCTGCCGCCTCACTCACCTCCGGAAGGTGAGGCGGCACCACACCCGCAGGGGGCGGCGGTGTGTGGAGTAAAAGGGCAAGAGGATGGTGTTTGGAGTTTTAGGGTTCTGGGCTATACCAGTGTCTAGGAAATTTGTTGTCAAAAATAAACTTTCTCCCCTTATGCTAGGATAATTAGTCTCAAACGCCAGGAAAGAAACCGAAGTCTGTCCAACCGGAAAGGTCCAAAGAATTATAGGTGGAGCAGTCGGGAAGACAATAATTCACAGAAAACATCCAGACAGATAATGAACACGTGAAAACCATTCAGCATCAGTAACAGGAAATGCAAAGTGGCACCTTGTCTCATTGGCACAGATTTTTTTTAAGGGACAGCATCTGGCTGTCTTATTGGCTGAGGTGTGAGGAAGAGTCTCTATACCGACAGTGGCACCATCAGAATAATGTCGGGAACCGGTTGGCCACAGGGACTCAGAGAACCATTTGTACCTCGTGATCACAGTGGCCGTATTCACAATAGTCATGAGGTGGAAGCAACCCAAGTGTCCTTCACTGGGCGAATTCAACAAAATGTGGTAGAGACGCAATGAACATTCTTCAGCCATGAAAAGGAAGGAGGTTCTGCCATGCGCTGCATGGGTGAGCCTTGGTGACATGTGGTGAGTGGAATGAGCCGGTCACCATCCGAGAACACTGTGTGATCACGTTCATATGAAGTGCTTACACGAAGAGTCTGATTCATTCACAGGGACACAAGTGGAACGGTGGTCGCCAGGGGCCAGGGGGTGGGGGAGTCGGTGACGGGGGGAGTCGGTGATGGGGGCTTCATGTTTAATGCATGAGAAGTTTCAGGTGGGGAAGATGAAACAGTTCTGGAGAAGGATGGTGGTGACGGTGGTGCGACAATGGGAATGCGCTTAATGCCAGAGACCCGTATGCTTAAAATGGTTATAATGATAAGTTTGATGTTACATGTATTTTGCCACAACTTTGGAAAATTTTTAAAAAAGACAATAACATGCAGGCCAAATATGCAAACTCTGCATTCCACCGACTGCCTGAATATTATCTATGATAGTGCAAAAGCAAAAACATTGGAATGTCTAATACTAGAGAAATAATTTAACACACCACGGTGTATTCATATAATGGAATGTTACTCATCTAGAGGAAAGTGTTTTCAAAGGATCCTTCAGGACACGGAAACGTGGTCCTGATACAAGGCAGAGTGAACAGCAGGTCTGAAAGCTATTTATTCTATGCTCCCACATGCTTTAAAAACAAACCTCAGTAAACGACCTGAAGGAAATATGCAAAGTCTCAACAGTGATTTTCCATCACAGGTAGATCCACTTCTTTCTAAGTTTCTGTACTTCCCAAGTTTTCCTCAGTAAGCAATTGTTTATGTTACTCCCGCTGCCCCCCAAAAGAAACCAAGTGCATGGATGCCAATCCCAGTGTGGGCTGGCGGTGGTGGCCTTCAAGGCGGCCAACAGCATCGCCATCACATTCCCGGTGCCCCAGGCACAGCCCCCTTCCAGTACCCCCTGCCCTTTCTCATCCGGACAGGCCCCTGTGCGCCCTACTCTGCTCAGCCTTGCAGGACGCTGTGACGAGGGCAACCACTCCAGCCCAGGGACCCATCCACCATGGCAACGGGATGCAGCACAGACCCCAAGAGGACGGGAAAGAGAGTGCTGGCTTTGGCTGCTCCACCCATGTGAGAGAAGCAAGCCAGCGGTGAGCTCCACCAGGAGGGGGCGGGGCACACAACAGTCATGGCGCCCGGACCCCTAGATCTTGCTTTTGTCCAGGATCTTAGCCCTAACACATCTGTATTCCCATCAACATCCGACAGGAGTGTGGGTCCCCCTGAACTGTGGAGACAGTACTGTGACCTCTGGGACACCCAGTCACGTTGTTGTGAACAAAGAATTCAGGGAAAAGAAAAGAGGACCCCTGGCCCAGAGAACCCTTTCCAGATTAACACTTCCCAATCTCAGTTCTCCACCTGCAGGAGCCTGCCTTTTTTCCATACCTGAGATGTCTTCTGAGTGTGCAAAATATTTTCTTGTCCCCAATTGAACATGTCTTGGATTTGACACCCCAAATTAATCCACCTTGCGGTTAGCATAGAGCAGAACAGGGGCAGATCCAAAGTCTCCTACTCCCAGGTACAGAAGGCAAACCGTCCATCTTTTTTTCACGGGAACCACTTGCAAGAATACAGTCTTTTTTTTTTTTCAGTGTTTAAATAGCCACCAAACTCTAAAGACTGGAATTATTCTTCCCTGGCACTCAACTTTCAGAGAAAAAGAGATAAAGAACATGTAACTATCAGAGATTCACTCTAAAGAGAGACTTCCAAAGTCAGAACATTTAGAAGGATTCAAGTCAATTGCCCTTGCCACCTTCTGGTGTTTTCCTACTCAACGAGAGTCAATATGTAGGAAGAGAACCCCAAATCTTTGCATCGATCACAAAGCAGCTTGAAAGAAGATCAGAATTTGTTCCACATCTAGTCGTCTTTGGTTGTTTTGGAACTTGGCATTCGAAACGTGATGTACGTGACAACTCTTGGTGAATCAGAACCACCTGCTCCCCTGAGAAGATGACTTTGGTACATGGTACCTGAGGTGGAGCTGGCTATGTCTCAACATCAATTACCGTACCTCCATCAGGCCTCACCCTTTCAGGGGTTCCACAGTATCACCCAATGACTTCTGTCCCCACACAGAACCCCTCTGTGAAGACCCATGCCTGTCCCATCCCATGGCCGCGGGTGAGCAAACACCCTCCCTGGAAGAGGTCCCTCTCCTGTTGGAGAGGAGGCACAAAGTATGTCGGGAGGGGAGTGGAAAATGCTCAACACAGGCTGCTCCACCAATGTCAGTGCTGTCACTGGCATCGCATTTCATAGCATTTCAAATCAAAGCCACAGAGTCGGGGACTTCAGAAGCTACCAAGGGGGTGGGTGGTAGTGAGGGGGAGATGTTCTGGACTGAACCTTTCAGGATGAGAATGGAGTGTTTTTATTCCCACCTCCTCATGGACTCTGGGGACAGGACAGGACCCTAAGACCACACTTCTAAGACGTCACCCACTATGACTTATCGAGTGCACCATATTTTCTAGCTGGGTCAGGAAGTGACCGCCAGTTCTAACTTAAGAGAGAAAATACGCCACGGGCCACCGTTGTATTGGAAGGGACAGGCTCAGACACTTGGTGGCTATGTCTCTGACGGCAAGGAAGCTACCCTGGTTGTGGAAGCAGAAATGGGAAAAGACTGACCAAGGAGAGGGGGGTCCCACATGCACTTCTGTCTCTGGGCTGGGAGGGTCTTTGGGTCATGCGTCCACCCACCAGATGGTCACTCGGCCTCCAACAAAACATCACCCATCCGGCCCCTGGCATAACTGGAAGCCTCGGACTCTTAGAAGAGCCTTTTCTACCTCAGGCTAAAACTGGCTGCCCGTCCATTTCCACCCACTGGCCCCATTTCCCCTTCCTGTTTTGACGTGTTAGCCCCACAATCCCCACTGAAGCCCAGAAAAAGAAACTAAAATCTCTTCCATCCAAAGGTGACCGGTCTTTTCATCTCTCTGTCCCCTTTGCTTCCAACTTGCCCCCTTCCTTCCTCAGAACCAGAGGGACAGGCCAATCGGTCACTGCTTAGCACCTTGACCTTGATGGGAAAGACCCCAGGCCTGGTTTCACACCATTTTTGCATATGCTGGAAATTGTATGATCTTGATTTCATGGCCATGCTTTTTGGCCAAGAACAGCAAAGGATGACCTAGATTCCAATGGAACCTTCCAGAAAGGGGATGTATCCTTGGTTAGGACCTGGGGATTTCCTGCTGAGGAGAATCTCCCCACGTGACTGGCACTAAGCCAAGGCAATGCACCTGTCAGAAGGCCCCCTCTCTGCTGAGGAGACCCCCCAAGAGGAGCCAGAGGAAGCCACTTCAGCTCCTTTGAGAAGCCTCAGATCTAGGGGGGCAGGGCCTTGCCTGTGATAGGGAAACCTGCATCAGTGGGGAGGTGGCCAAAAAAAGCTCAGGCCTCAGGGTGATGCCTGGGGTATATGGCAAACGGGCAGCACCTGACCCTTCCGGATGGTCTCCTACCGGAAATGGTGACTTTTTCCCCAGCACTACTAACTTACTTTAGGGGATCAAACAGTACAGTGCATTTAG